GCCCCCTCCGCGCCCGCCCCCCCCTGCAAGCCGACTCCTCCTAGTTCTATCTCTGTTAAGACAACAGGTAAGTGTTCCAGCAGTTGAGTCCATAAAGCATCTGGCAGCAGCAAGCATTTTTTCGATTGTGAACTCTTCGGCCTGAAACAGGTCACATGCCATGGCTAGCTGGCGCATAGGGCCTTCCCAGGGACACTGGGAGGACTCACCAGGGCCCCGACTTGCGCATGTGAATGTGTCCAGCTGCCTTGGCAGAAGCCTGGCCAAGAGAAAAATAGGTTCCCATGAATGTCTAAATACCGCTTGCTGCGCGCGCCGTACATACCTCCGTAGTCTGATAAGCGCCATAGTGCCTGTCTTAACGTAAGGCTTCCTAGGAGAGAAACGGTCCTCGGCAAATAGCTCGGCTGTGAGCTGGTTGATCTTGCAGTTGAAATCGTCGACCTGCTGATTGACGTCCGTAGCCCACGGCGCCACTGGCATCTCTAGAATAGCTTGTCGGAATTTGTTCTGTCTGATAGGATCCGCGAATTTCTGCCTGTCAAGCTGCTTTCTCCCTGCTTCGGGTGGTGAGTAATATTTGGCAGCCGCGATGGTGACAACAACTGGCCAGTGGCCAGGAGATTTGCCACCAAGGTCCAAGTCCGTCATCACATAGCAGCTCTTCGCGCAAGCGTGGATGCTGTCCTGCAGCAAGATGTAGTCCAGGCGATGTAGTGTTCCACACTTTGCTCGAAAAGTTTCAGGATGCTCATGGGGGAGGAACGCGTTCGTGATCACCATGCTGCACTGCTTGGCAATCCCCTGGAGCTCGAGCCCATTGAAGTCGAGTGAGTCAGTTGGCCCAATGCATCCTGGAACATCTGTGACATCGCTGCCCATGCGAGCGTTCGCATCTGCCATAATAATAGTCGGTGGGTGCTGGCCCAAAACAGCTCGTACATCTTGCCACCATTTACGAACATGCTGAGGCGGGTCCATGGTCCCACGTTTGTGATGAGGAGCATGGATAACTGCCACTGTGTGAACCATCATGGGCGCATGTATCTGCACGAGAAGAAATCTTTCGACTGCATGTATAACGTGAACGTGCTTGGTCATCAGCTTTAGCGGCCCCTTCTTCCCGCGTGCATAACCAAGCTCGAGGTTGACCAGGAGTGTACACCCCAGCCCTTTAGAGGCCGAGCCTGTATTGACAACCAGGAAACCATCGGACTCAAACTTACCAACAGGGTGTAATGTCTCCTGGATGCCAGCCAATAGCACAGAATCATCTTTGAGCTGTAGCCGAAGATGTCTTGCACGAGCTCTGCGCCCCTCCTGTCGGGCAAAGGTGTGAACCGATTTGTCGAGACCTTCACTGTCATCACCAGAGCATATCGTAACATTGTTAAAGGTCGCTATATTATAGTTAATTCGAGTAGGTGCACGCAGGACTGCAATTTCGCCTTCTCCATATTCGTCGGTCTGCAACAACTTCTGGTTGCGCACATCAAAGTGAAAACCATTTTCCCAGAAGCACGGATATGCTGATGTCGTCGGGTTCAAAAACCTTGTAAAATGCCACTCAGCATCTAACGTATACTTCAGTGCTTGACGTGGAACCTGCGGTAGATCTGGTGGCACATTGGATTATTTAGTAAAGTGCATGGATATCGAGTCGACTGCTTCATTCCATGGGTAGTCCTGGTGACCTGGTTCCTGCACCACTGTTATTGGACGCACACGCTGCACGTCTCTGAGAACAGTGGCCGGCATCTTGTCCAACTCAGAAGCCAATCGCACACGACTCAAAGCTTTGTCGACCGCCGCCATGTTGTCGCAGATGATGTACACCTGCTCATCGAAAGGCAACTGAAGAGAAAAGATAGCCACCCAGACAACACCCAAAAGTTCAACCTCGGTGCTGTGGGTCTGCTCGGCCACGTTGTCGAAGGAGTGAGATGTCGCCGCTCGTGCCGCCACATAGCCCTGACACGCAAACCTGCATGGCGTGGGCCAGCGCGAACGCCGCCAGCTCGGGAGACTTGGAGCGCAGAGAAGCATCTGTATAAACATGATGCGCGGCCTGGCCCGTACTTGGACGGGGAGGGCGCATACGCAGAGCCAAGTCAGCAAAAGGGTGCAATTGCATACCCCGGTAGTCCCAAGAGAGCTGCAACTGCCACTGTACCTGGTCAAACAACTCTGGTAATGTAGGGACATGCTCAACTCGACAATTTGCTGCCGTAGCTGGCTGCGAAGCTGTATGATCAACAAGCACGTTGGGGCTGTCAATCTCCACGCCAGCATGGTGCTGTGGAACCACAACACTAACCCTCGCCAAATCGCCGATCTGAAATAAATTCTGTGAATTCTCAGTGGAGCCGAACATGCAGTTGTAGATGTCGACTGTGAAGGCGCCTCTCGCTCCGCCCGATGGCGCTGGAGAAGACGACTGCAACGTAGGCAGGCACCCCAAAGCCTCTCGGCGATGCCGTTGACTGCCTGGCGGTCGGTACCCTCTGGCGCACACGCGCTGCCTCGATGGGGGCGCTGGGCAATGCGCGCCGAAGGCCAAGGCCGACGGTCGGTACCCCCTGGCGCCCCTTTGAGCAGCTTGGTACGCTGAGCAGTGCGTGCCGCTAGGCTCCTGAACAAATTCAAAGCTAGGCATGCCTGATTGTCTAGAGCGGCCAATACTCACACCTTCACCCGCTGCTACATGTATATGTGAACTGCTTGAATTCTCACCGACGGAATCCCCAATCTCGTCGATGTAGGTGTGCAACTCCAGCGCTGAGGCAAGATGCACAGCGCGCTGATGCTGCACCTCTAGAGACCCAGCTGAGGCTAGCCTCCTCCGTGCGCCACGCCTGGGATGTGAAAACCTGCCCCCCGACGCACCTCCTCTGAATTGCCGAGGTCGTCAGGCTTGCCACGACGAAGGCGCTCAGCACGGCCTCCATCTGACCTGCTGCGAGTGGAGGAACCCTTGCGCTCCTCCGTCTTGGCATCCTGCGCGGTCAGGTCGAACTGCTGCGGTGCAACTTGGGGCCCGCAAGGCTGCGAGGTGCCAGGAATGCCGCACGATGAGGATGAGTGCCAGCGCGACGGCGACACTGCCGCCTGCGCACATGGGGGCGGCGGTGGAGGGGAAGGAACATCCTCCATCTTGGCCGCAGCTTCCTCATTGATATTGCGCTGCTCCTCTTCAAACTGCGCCGCTGCCCTCGCTTGCTGATCCACCTTGAACTGGCGATGCATCTCCGCCTCCTGACTGATGTCGAACTCCGTATGGTATCCATCGCGAAAGAGACCCTCTGCTTCTTCATCGATACGCCTCTGCTCATCCTCTGCTCGGGCTTCGTCAAAGTCTTGCTGATCACTGCGGCGCTGTTCCTCCTGCATCTTGGCATAATAATCGCCAGCGTCGAAGGTGCCCGTGGCCGAGGTCTCCGATACTGGGCGCTGCTGAGCTGCAGCCGCCGCAACATCCTTTGGCATCTGTGACTGAGACGGAATAGCCATGGGAGGCATTGGGGCGGATGCTGCCACAGGCGTCGGCATCTGTGACTGCGACGGTATCGTCTGCGGCTGTGACTGGTGAACTGCAACAGCTCCCTGAGGTGCGCTTGGCGATGACTGCGTCTGAGGGATCTCTGTCTGCCCATTCGACGCGGCGAACTGTGCAAAGAGAAAGTGCGACTTCATCGCCTGCATTTGAGACTCCCGCTGTTGTGCATGAATCTGAGCTGCCTGACTTTTTTGCTGATCCAGCATCTGCTGCAATGAGGCGGTGATCTGCGACAATGCATTGAGCTTTCCCTTCCCCAACCCCTCCGCGGGAGGAGGGGCGGGGGTGGGGGGCGGGCCAGACCAGCCGCGGTCCCCTGGGCACTCCTACACAGTGGCGCCTGGGGTGGTGGCGGCGGTGGCCGAGCAGGCACATTGCTTTGATCAACTTGCATATGAGAATCCATGTCAGCAGAGAGATGCTTGTGCTGGTCCTGCTCGAATGTACTGAGCTGCTCCTTTGCCAAAATGAACTGTTTGTGCAGATCCTCTCTTTGGTTGACCAAGTCACCAAGCTGCTTCTCAACTCTGTCCAGCTTATCCTTTAGTATCTCTGCTCTCTTGCTGATTGACTTCTGCTGCTCCGCAACCGGCAATAACTGTAATACGGCTGCATTCAGAACAGAAACTTCCGTGGTCTCAATGGCCGCTGACTTGCCCGCGGCCTTGAGCGAAATGATGAGCTCCGCCAATTGGTATATTATCTTCCACTGCTTCTGCTTGTACTCCTTCACTCTTTCCTTTTCCTCGGGCGGCGGTGGTGGGGTCCAAGACTCGGCAACTCTGGCAAGATTTGGATGCATAGGCCCTATTTCGTTGATAACCTTGCGAACTGGACCCTCTTTTCTTTTGCGGCTTGCAGATCTGTCACGAGCATCTTGTTTGGACTTCCCACGGGAAGACGTTCTCTTCATCTCGTTCTGCTGATATGCACTGCCACACTGCTTACAATACCAGAAAGAACTCCCATTGGTGGTATTGCACTGTGAACACTTCCATCCTCCCATTGCAGAATGATGCTGTTGAAGTCGCACGGCAGCAGCACGCAGTCTCAACAAGGTGCGGTCCGCCGCACGCAGCCTCCTCAGCCTGCGATGCCAGGCGGGCTCGTCCTGGCGGAGGCCGAGCGGCCTCGGGCCGCGGCCCGCAGCCTGGGGTCGGCTGTCCCGCGGCAGCCCCGTTGGGGGCAGGCTGGAGCAGGCCAGGCTGTCCGCCTATCGCGCGGCGGACGCGCGGGGTCGCCCTGGCGGGGCGCGCGGCCGCGGTGGGGGGGCGCCGCGCCCCGTTCGATTAGGGCAACGCCTTGAGCCAAAATGGCTTGAGCCAAAATGGCTTGAGCCAAAATGGCTACGGAACCTCCTCTTCCTCCTCCTCCTCCTCCTCCTCCTCCTCCTCCTCATCTGCCTCCCCCTCCCTCGCGAAAATCCTGCGGCCGACCGGGGCGCCTCCGCGCCCGAGCGGCAGCGCGGGAACGGCGGCCCACGGGGCAGCGGCCCCTGGCCACCTGGGGTGGAGACTGGCACAGTCACAATCATCATCATCATCATCATCATCATCATCATCATCATCATCATCATCATCATCATCATCATCATCATCATCATCATCATCATCATCATCATCATCATCATCATCATCATCATCATCATCATCATCATCATCATCATCATCATCATCATCAGCAGCAGCATCATCATCATCATCATCATCATCCATCATCATCATCATCATCATCATCATCATCATCATCATCATCATCATCAGCATCAGCATCATCATCATCATCATCATCATCATCATCATCATCATCACCATCAGCAGCATCATCATCATCAGCAGTATCATCAAAATCAGCAGCATCAGCATCAGCATCAGCATCATAATCATCAGCATCAGCATCATCATCATCATCATCAGCATCAGCATCATCATCATCATCATCATCATCATCATGTTCATCAGAATCATCATCATCCTCATCATCAGCATCAGCATCAGCATCAGCATCATCACCAGCAGCATCATCGTCATCATCATCATCTGCATCAACATCTCCATCATCAGCAGCAGCATCATCACCAACAGCAACAACAACAATTTCAACAGCAGCACCAGCAGCAACAGCCACAGCAACAACATCATCTCAGCATCATCGTCATCAATCACAACAACAGCAGCAACAGCAACCACCACAACAACAGCAACCACAACAACAACGACAACAACAACCACAGCAGTAACACCAACCATGACCAAAACAACAACGAACAACGACAGCGGTAACAACGACAACGACAACAACAATAGCAACAACAACAGCAGCAACAACAACATGATCATCATCATCATCATCAGAAGCAGCATTAACGTCATCATCATGAACACTCATCCAGTATGAATCATCCGTACCATCATCATTATCGTCATCATACGCATCGTCATCATCATCCTCATCCTCATCTTCCACGGCATCATCCCCATCATGATAGTCATCGCAATCATCATCAGCATTATCAGAATCTACATCATCATCATCATCATCATCATCATCATCATCATCATTATCATCATGATGTGTGCTACCATCCTCATCATCGTCATCATTGCCATCATCATCATCAGCGTCATCAACATCAACAGCAGCAGCCGAAGCAACCGAAACAACAGCAACAACAGCAACCACCACAACAACGACAACAACAACGACAACAACAGCCACAATAGTCACAACCACGGCATCAACAACAAAAACGGCAACGGCAACAACGACAACGACATCAACAATAGCAGCAACAACCACAAAATGAGTATCATCATCATCACCAGCAGATCATCGTCGTCATCACCATCAACAGCCATCAATCACCAACCAGCAATCATCGGTATCACCATCAGCATGATCATCATCATCAGCATAAGCACTCATCATCACCATCCTCATCATCATCTTCAACATCATCATCTCCATCATGATAGTCATCGCCATCACCGTCATCGATCATCGTCATCCTCATCATCGTCATCATAATCGTCATCATCGTCATCATTGACATCATTGACATCGTCGTCGTCATCGTCATCACCATCACTATCGCAATCATCATCACCACCATCATCAGCATCATCATCAACATCAGCATCATCGTCACCATCACCATCACCATCGTCATGCTAAAAATCATCACGATCGGCTTCTTCATCATCATCGTCATAGCCACTTCCACGACATTCATCATCATCATCATCATCATCATCATCATCATCATCATCATCATTACCATCACCCAGCAGCAGCAGCATGATCCGAATCACAGTCCACAGCACAAACACTACCACCACCACCACCACCACCACAAGCATCATCACCATTATCACTACCATCATAACCACCACAAACATTGCCATCACAATCACACCAGTATCACCATTATCGCAACCATCATCACCATAAACATCACCATAAACATCATCACCACCAGCACCTGGTATCACCATCATCATGACCATCATCATCACTAGCATCATCATCACTATCATCAGTATCAGCATGATCACAATCACAATCCCCATCATCACCGTCACCATCACCGTCACCACCACCATCATCACCACCACCCTTAACATTCACCGATGCAACCAGTATCGTTATCACCGCAACTACTATCACCAGCGCTTATCACAACCACCACCACTGCCATCACCATCATCATGTTCATCGTCATCACCACATTCAGCAGCATCATCATCATCATCGTCATCATCATCATCATCATCCTCATCATCAGCTTCAGCTTCATCATCACCGCAATCACCCTCCTAATCATCGCCATAACCATCACTATCATCACCATCATCACCGTCATCACAACCATCACAACCCTAACCACCATCACCACCACTATCATCATCGTCATCACCACCATCATCATCATCAGCATCATCATCAGAATCATCATCATCGCAATCACCCTCCCCATCATCATCATCAGCATCACCATCACCAGTATCATCATCGCAAGCATCACAACCCGAACCACCACCAACACCACCACCATCATCATCATCATCAGCATCATCATCATCATCATAATCATCCTCATCCTCATCATAATCATCACCATCATCATCATCATCATCATCATCATCATCATCATCGTCATCGTCATCGCCATCCTCGTCATTAACATCATTATCGTAATCATCGTCATCATCGTCAGCAGCAGCATCTTCATCATCGTCATCCGCCCTGGATGTCCGACATCTGAAGATTACGCAAAGACATACTCAACCCACCCGAGATTTCTGGAAACGCTGTTTGGAGGCACTGCCTTGGACACCACTTGGCTGGACCTCCCAGAAGCTCACGAAAGTTGCGACAGGTGCACAGATGGCACCACCCAGGGAGGGCGAGGGTCATCATCTGGACTCGGATAAGACGTCACTCTACTAGACCTCGCAGAACCTCATGAAAGGTGCGACAATTGCTCAGTTGGCTCAGCCGCCTCTCCTCCGATTTCTCCACCGCCTTGCTTCCCCCCATCACAGTATCCCTCCAACTCTTCCCCCAGCCCACTCTTCCCCCTCCCGCTATTCCCCCGACCCCCCTTCCCCCCATCCCCCTCCTCCATGTGGCGCACCTCCTTGGAATACGATGCGCCCGTGGTGTCCACAGCAGCGCCGAGCAAGAGGAAGGGAGGAGCAAGGCAGAACCCCGTCCAAATACCCCTCCCCCAACTTCCCGGGGGAAGAACAAGGCACTGCTGCAGCTGCTCCCTGGACTTCTCGCGGGGCGTGCCCTGACCAGGATTCCGGGGCGCATGCAGCCACGGCGATTTCGAGGATCTCGAGGCGACCTCTTCTGATGTGCCCCTCCCCCCTTTCCCCCCCTCTCTTAGACACAGCCTGCGAGGGCGCGCCCCCGCTGGCGTTCCTCCTCCTCCTCCTCCTCCTCCTCCTCCTCCTCCTCCTCCTCCTCCTCCTCCTCTTCCTCCTCCTCCTCCTAGCCATTTCGCGTCCGAGCGGCCCCCCCCTGCACCGGGCCCCTTGGACGATGCGGTGCGCAAACTTCGAAGTGGCGCTGCGCGCCCGAGTCATGAAGAAGCAGCGCGGAGCCCTACGTCATCAGCTACAACGCTGAGATCAGGCGAACGCGCAGCTGCCAGGATGCCCGCCCCCTCCCGCCCCCTCCTCCTCCTTTCCGTCCCCACCCTCCTCCACCCCCTGGCAGACCGGGGCGCCAGCCGATGCGGCGCCGCCGGCAGATTGCGGGGACAACAGAGTCGTGATCAGCTACAGCGTAGGGATCAGGCCGTGAGAGAAGCAAGCAATGGCAGCCAGAGCTGGCGCTGCGACAGGGACGAAGGCGCGGGTGGGCCACGATCAGCTACAACGCTGGAAGCAATCCGTGCGAGAAAGGGAGCGCGCAGTGGCAGCGGACGCTGGCGCTGTGCAAAATGCGCGGGTGGGCCACGATCAGCTGCAACGCTGGGAGTCGTCCGTGCGAGGAGGGCCTGCGAGAAGCGGGAGGCGAAGCTGAAGCCCGAGTGTTTCTTCTAGCGAACGCCTCTGGGAACAGCGCGGGTGAGAAAAGCGAGCAATGTTCTGCCGCGGCCATCCTGCGAGAAGTGGGAGGCGAAGGCGGAGCCCGATGTCGACAGCTACAGCGTTGGGATCGGGGCAAGCCGCTGCGAGAAGAGGGAGGCGAAGCTGGAGCCCGAGTGTCTCTTCTAGCTCACGCCTCTGGGAACAGCGCGTGCGAGAAAAGCGAGCAATGTTCTGCCGCGGCCATCCTGCGAGAAGTGGGAGGCGAAGGCAGAGCCCGATGTCGACAGCTACAGCGTTGGGATCGGGGCAAGCCGCTGCGAGAAAAGGGAGGCAAAGCTGGAGCCCGAGTGTCTCTTCTAGTTGACGCCTCTGGGAACAGCGCGTGCGAGAAAAGCGAGCAATGTTCTGCCGCGGCCATCCTGCGAGAAGTGGGAGCCAGGGCAGAGCCCGATGTCGACAGCTACAGCGTAGGGATCGGGGCAAACCGCTGCGAGAAGAGGGAGGCAAAGCTGGAGCCACACGTCGTATAGCTAACACCTCTGGGAACAGTGTGCGCGAGAAGAGCGCCACCCTGCGAGAAGTGGGAGGCGAAGGCAGAGCTAACACCTCTGGGAACAGTGTGTGCGAGAAGAGCGCCATCCTGCGAGAAGTGGGAGGCGAAGGCAGAGCCCGACGTCGTCTGCTACAGCGTTGGGATCTGGGCAAGCCGCTGCGAGAAGAGGGAAGCAATGCTGGAGCCAAACGTCACCTTCCTAGCCACCACCGCGCGCTGGGAGAAGCGGGAGGCAAAGTTGGAGCCCGACTCTATCTAGCTACACTCGCTAGAAGCAGCGCGTGCGAGAAGTGCAGGGACCAACGAACGGGCTCCGGCGCGAAATGGCAGGGCACGGACGAGCTACCCTCAGTTACAGTGCAGAGATCAGCCCGTTGTGCGAGAACAGGAGTGGAGGAAATCCACTCGTGCGAAAAGGGGAAAGCAAGCAGGCAGTGGCAGCGGGGCTGCCCAAGCGTGCGTGCGAGAAGCAGGCAGTGGCAGCGTGCTGCCACGGCGTGTCTCAGTGTCCTGGGGGCGATCCTCGGAAGATCTCTGGGCGTTTGAATCGGTTGGGGGAAGGGCGACACCCGACCACCAACCGCCTTTTCTGATGCAGCCCCATGTCGCCCAGGAGAGGCCTGGGGGATGGTGCTGTCTCATCGTCGTCGGTCGCGCTCTCTTGCTCATGGCGCGGCAGATCAGGATAGCAGAATCCTCGTAGCAGAATCCTCCTCCTCCTCCTCCTCCTCCTCCTGCTCCTCCTCCTCCTCCGCCTGCTCCTCCTCCTCCTCCCCTCCTCCTCCCCCTCCTCCCCCCCTCCCCTCCTCCTCCTCCTCCTCCTCCTCCTCCCCCTCCTCCACCTCCTCCTCCTCCTCCTCCTGAACCTCCTCCTCCTCCTCCTCCTCCTCCTCCTCCTCCTCCTCTTCTTTCTCCCCCACCCCGCACCCCAAAGAAACGCACGCCCCCGCGGCCCTGGAGCCACCGGGCCGGCGTCTGCTGCGCCGCGGCCCGCGGCTGGAGCCTGGGAGAGTCGGCGCGGGGTCGGCGCGGGGGGGGGAGGCGGGCTCAGGGCCGGCAGGGGGGTGGGGATGGGGAGCCAGACATGATCGCGCCGCCCCCCCAAAAAACAGGACGGGAGGTTTTCGTTCAATTTCGACCTCGGGGGGCTCTCGCTGGGCCTCGGGACCGTCAGAGAACGCCTCAGGATGAAAAACCGGTCCCGGGGAGAAAGGGTCGGGACTTCCAGGGACCCCGCACCGAAAAAATCAGGACGTCGCATGTCTGAGGAGTGACGGCAGGAGAGGGGAAGGAAGCGGGAGGCGAAGGGAAGGCGAGGAGGAGCGGAGACAGGGGCGGGGAGGGGCAGAGGAGGCAGGGGGCAGCTGCAGGCTATCTAAGCGTCTCGAAAAACCGGAGAAAGACGCGAAAAGCACCAAAAGTAGAAAGCGCGAAAAGTGCGAAAAGTGCGAAAAGTGCGAAAAGCAGAAAAGCAGAAAAGTACGAAAAGTGCGAAAAGCGCGAAAAGTGCGAAAAAGTCCGAAAAGTTTTTTTTGAAAAAGTCAGAAAAATGCGAAAAGTGCGAAAAGTGCGAACAGCGCGAAAGGGGCGTCTGGTTGCGCCGCCCCGCCCGCCGCCCCCGGCGCGCGGGGCGGAGGCCCTGGCGCGCGCGGCCGCCGCCCCGCAGAAGAGGCTCCACCGGGAGTCGCGGGCGAAGAAGGCCGCCCGGCTGCAGCGGCGCCGGGAGCGCCGCGCTGAACGGCGGGAGGCCGAGGCGACCGGAGAGAGGGCGCTCCGCCGCGCAGGCGAGCGGGTGCGGCAGCAGCGCTGCCGGGCAGAGTGAAGCTGGCGAGCCTCCCCGAAAAAGGTCACGAAGCAGCTCGCCGCTTGGGCCCCGCCGCCGGCCCGTCCCGCGAACGGCTTCTGCCTCGCGCAATTCCCCGCGCGAGGTAGAAGCTGTTTGGCTTCACGCGATAATATCCTCGCCCCCTGGCTTCACATCGCCAGCGAATTAGCCTCGCCCCCCTGGCTTGAGTTGTCAGCGATGTATGCTCGCCCCTGGCTTAACATTGGCAACGGACTATCCTCGCCCCCATTGGCTTAAAACTGCCAGCGCAATGACCGCGCCCCCTGGCTGAAAACTGCAAGCGAATTATCATCGCCCCCTTGGCTTGAAACTGCCGACGAAATATTCTCAACACCTGGCTTTGCACTGCCAGCGACATATCTTCGCCCCTTCGATATATCTTTGCCTCCTCGTTTATAACTGCCAACGAAGTATCCGCGCCCCCCTTGCCTAAAAACTGCCGGCAAACTATGCTCATCCCCTCGCTCAAACGGCCGACGCGATATCCTCCCCCCGGCTTCGAGCTGCCACCGAAGTAGCCTCGCCCCCCGGCTATTGCCAGCGGGATTTCCTCGCGCCGCGGCTGACAATTGCCAGCGAAAAAAAAACATCCCTGACTTAGACATGCCGGTAACATGTCGTCATCCCCTTGGCTTACAGCTGCCATCGAGATGTCCTCGCCCCCGAGGCATAGAATTGCCACCGCAATATCCCTACCTCCTCGTTTAAAACTGCTAGCGAAATTGGTTCGCCCCCTCGCCTAAAACTGCCGGCGAAATATCATCACCCCTTCGACTTCGACCTGCCAGCGAAATATTCCCACCTCCTCGCTTAAAACTGCCAGCGACATATTTCATCGCATAGCTTAAAACTGCCAGCGAAATATCACCGTCCCTTTGCTTACAACTGCCAGCGAAATAACCACGCACCCCTCGCCTCAAACTGCCAGCGACATCTCCTCACCCCCTCGCTGAAAACTAGCAGCGAAGTACCCTCGCCACCCGCAAAGATGAAACTGCCGCCGAACGGATTTGTTAATTCAGTTCCGTTCAGTCCAATTCAATTCAGTCAGTCTACCTAGCGACAGTCAGATTACGATCTGCGCTCGCAAACAACCCCGACCTGTCGGGCGGGGGAATTCCAGCCAAGGCCGAGAAACGGAGGCGGATGTTGCGCCAGTTGGTGCAGCGAGGAGTGATACTCGAGGACGGCGGCCGGTGCAAGGCCGCCGGGCGTTCAAATTCCTTTGCCTTGGGTCAAGGGCCTCTCTGGCCAAAGCGTCTCGGAGTAAATCGTGCGGGAGTATCGAGCGAGGGCTGTTGTCGTCTATCCCAGGTGGTCTACACCGACCGCGGCGCCGCGTACATGCGGCGCCTGGCGGTGCGAGAGCGGGTGCTGAACGCGTACGTCGCGCTCTCCGACATCTCGTGATCGTCGTTCTCTTCCACTTCCCGTCGCGTCCTCGTCCTCGTCCTCGTCATCGTCGTCCTCCTCCTCCTCCTCCTTCTCCTCCTCCTCCCTGATCAATCTACTCCCCCTCCCCGCTTTCCCCTTTTCTCCTTTTTCCGCCTGGGACTTGCAGCCGGCCGGCGGGCGAGGCGGCCAGCAACAAGGAAGGGGGCAGCAAATCCTTCGTCGCCGCGGTTGGACGCGCCTCGAAAATTTGTTTTTTTTCAACCTGGGAGAGGCCCGGGAACCGATTGTGAACGGAGTTCCATTCTTCTTGTCCTGTTTTCTCGGGAGGCCAATCCAGCGCAGACCCCCTGGCCGCCTCGCCTCCAATGCTAGCTGTTCTCGCGCGGGCGCCGCTGCGCGGAGCCTCTTAGCGTTGGATTTATATGTTGGCCGTTTGGGCCATCGGGTTTAGATAAACCCTTGATGCTCGAGGCGCCCCTCTGCCGTGCGTCGCCCTCTGCTAGACGGGCCTTTTCGCATTTTTCTTACTTTTCGCGCTGTTCGCACTTTTCGCACTTTTCACACTTTTCGCGCTTTTCGCACTTTTCGCACTTTTCTCACGTTTCGCGCTTTTCGCACTTTTCGCGATTTTCGCACTTGTCGCACTTGTCGCATTTTGCGCTTACTAAGACCCGGATCTAAGCAGCACAGGGGGGCAGGGGGGGCGGCCCTGACATTGTCAGGCGGACGAGCCTCATGGCGGACGTCAGCCCAGAAATGACGGGTGCTAACCCGCTGAAAGGAGTGCGGACACTCAAGAGAGAGGCCATCCGCACAGTGCGATTCAAGCACAGGCCCTCCCAATTCGAAAGCAGCTTTACCGAGAGCTCTGCGGCAAGACAGCGCCACCCCGCCCCGCCCCCCCCCAGATGTGCGAGATCGTGAACGGGCACGGGCGCCAAAAGCAGGACAAGCCCACCAGGCGAAACAGCTCACTACCTCGCACATCACCTGTTTCAAGGTCAGGGCTTCCGAAAAAAATGATTCTCGGGAGCCACCTTCGGTCCTGAGGCAAGGCCCGCCGAGGCCCATCTTGTAAACAAACCAGCGCCACACGCGGGCCCGCCACCCTCCCCTCCCGCTGCTCCTTCAACTCCTCGGGCGGGGCGGCACCTGGGCAACGCCGCGTCCAAGGCGGCGGCAGAAAGCCCCGGGTGAGCAGGCGCCAAGTCCTGAGGGCTGGCCTCTCCCTCTGCAATGCGAGAAGCCAGACGATGACGATGATGAAAACGACATGGCGCCAGACTGCACGGCGGGAGCAGGAGCGCGAGCGGCGGCAACGGGGGGTGGCAGTGGCAGTCGCAGCAGCAAGGGCAGCAGTGGTGCTAGGGACTAGCTGGAGCAGGATGAGCAAAACTAGCATCACAACCACGAAACGCTCCCAGAAACGCGTGAAAGTAAGCACACACCTGCAAACTGAGCCGTGAAAGTAAAGTGAGTGTACAGTAGAGGCAGTGGTAGATAGCAGCAACTGCAATCGTTGTATCACACTAAGTAGCACTGCTTCCTGGCACAAGGCCGCTCGCTCTTTTCAGCAGGGACCCAAAACCTCCTGATTTTTAGACAGCGCGTGCCAGTCGGTGCCAAGAGTTCTTCCGAACTCAAATGCAGCTCGAACCCCGCGACACCAAACTTCATGCCGTGTGGCTGGCCACCGAGCAAAGTTCTCCAAGAGTCCACGGCAACAGATGCCACAGATGCATAAAAGCATACGAACCTTCAAGGTGCCCAGTGTACCTAACCTCGATACTTGGGGGCGAGCGAGGAGGGGGAAAGAGGAGGAGGAGGCCTTGTCAGAAGGCTCGGAAGTCCCCCGGCCTTCTGCGAAATTTTCTGAGCATCCGGCGAAGACACAGAAAACCTCTTGGAAGGCCGGAGGGCTTCTGAGAAGCCCCGCCGCCTTCTGAGAAGGCCTTCTCACTTCCCCGCCCTCGCTCGCCGCCGAGATGCGTACTGGCTCGCTCGCTCACGGCATCACCGGAGCGCGTGGGGCAACGCAAAACACCGTGCCAGCTCAGCATCACCGCTCTGCGGGAGCCATGGCACGTCGGCGGCCCCCAGAGGTGTCAGCGTGCGCGGCGGGAGGATGGATGAGACCCAGTGCGAGATTTAATCCGGCCCACTGGGATGTAATTTGGCGGCGAGCGAGGAGGGGGAAGTGAGAAGGAGAAGGCCTTCTTAGAAGGCGGCGGGGTTTCTCAGAAGCCCTCGCGCCTTCCGAGAAGTTCCCTGTGTCTTCGGGGGAGGCTCAGAAAACTTCTCAGAAAACTGGGGGACTCCTGAGCATTCTGAGAAGGCCCGCCCCTTCTCACTTCCCCCCCTCGCTCGCCGCCGGGTAGTTCAGCCCTCTGGTGGGATGTCCGACTGTCGATTGGGCAGTTGTCCCTCAACCAAGTGAGCTCCGAATTGCAGACCGCCGCGTATCCCCCCCGCGTGTGGCTCCTCGGCATCCTGAGGCCAACTTTTGCACCCCAGGGCTGAAGCATAATCTGGATCTCTGCCGCTCTGAGTTGCTGCGAGGCAAGGTACCACAAAACGCTGGACGGCGGCGAACTTCAGGCGAGTGAAAGTGAGCTTCCCCGCTGGCGATTACTTCAGTGATGACGAAGACGAGAAGCAGCAGGAGGGGGTGGGAGGAGAAGGCTCCTCGACTGAAATCGGTTTCCACGAACCTGTAAGCGACTGAAGAACGTCCTCCAATCGGTCGTTACTGCGCCCGCTTGTTCCCGTGACCAGACTGACCTCGGCGCGCAAGCCGCGTCTGACTATATTGAGGCACGGTCGACTACGCTATGATGTTCACCTTCACTGGTGGTTCACTCTATTATGCAAAAGTGCACTATGTAACCTTTTTACGCTGGCATAAAAATGAGCTGTTATGCTCTAGTGTGTGTTCTACGTGATGGTATACCATGTACGCGGTAATATGATTACAATGGTGTGGTATGAAAAGTTCCTGTTGTGGCATACCTACTCGGTTCTATCATAGTAAATGGTGTTGCAAAATATTCGCTGCCACACTGGTAGCAGCCGCAAGACAAGTATGGTATGGTGGTTTGGTCACGTGTGCCATGTTTGTTAAATTATGTCGGGTTGGTTGGTATCAAGATATCCCCCGTCAATATGCAACCCTCGATGGTATCGTAAAACGTTCGCTGCACTTGTGGTAACAACGGTAAAACAATTGCAGAATGGTGTGCTAAGAACTGGCATGGTCTACTCATTGGCGTTCCGCTATATCATGCCAGGTGTTGTTATGGTCTGGGTTGTCCAATGATGTGGTATGATTTGATACGACGTGTCATGTTGTGGTATCGTATGACACGTTACGTCGCTATGATACCTGAAGATACCCTTTGTGTGCGATGTCGTGTTCCGTCGTGATATAAACTTGCATGTTCGTATACAAGCTTATATACAATATTGTGATATGTGTCGGCTGTGCGTGCATGCTATGGCATGGCACGACACGGCATGGTATGGTATGCGATGTCATGGTGCGATGTCTCATGTGATGACATGGTACGCATGCTCCGAAAATGATGTATGATGATGTATTATGTTACGATGTGGTCTGCCTTCTTACATTTCAACAGTATGCCATGTTCTGTCCTGTGACTCATGGTGCGCTCTGTGCTGCTAGTTCTGCTATGTCATGCTCACAAGGGCGGGAAGGAGTCTGGGTTTTTTTCGGTGGACCTGGGGATCTGGCGGCCGCAGTATGCAAAGTGGGCGAATCGGGTCTGGAGGGGCGGGAGTCTCGGGAACTCTCGGTGGACCTGGGGATCTAGAGTGGGCGGGTCGAGTCCAGAGGGGCAAAAATCTTGGGGACTCTCGGTGGACATGGGGATCTGGCGGCCGCAATATGCAGGGTGGGAGGGTCGGGAGGTCTGTTCTTAAAACCTGACCGGACAAGAACGGGAAGCGTCGCTTTAGTCCACCAAGCATGTGGAAAATGCTCTGTTGTTGTTATGCCGCGCAGGTATGCCGTGGCGCGCGTGTCGGCGTGCGTGCGGGGTGTGTTTTGCTGTGCTCCTGTGTGTTCTGCCATGCTCCTGTTCTGCCGTGCTTCTGTGTTCTGCCGTGCTTCTGTGTGCTCTATGTGTTCTGCCGTGTTCCTGTATCTGCCGTGCGGATCGTCGCGGTGGTCGTTTTGGCAGAGCTTCTGGGCGCACACGGCAGAAAAAGATCAGGAGCACGGCAGAATAGGCCCCAAGAGCGAAGGAGCACGGCAGAGAAAGACAAGGAACACGGCAGAATAGACCCCAAGAGCAAATCACGGCAGAATAGGCCCCAAGAGAGAAGGAGCACGGCAGAACAAAAACAGAAGCACGCCAGAGTAGACCCCGAGAGCTGAAGGAGTGCCGGAAAATAGACCCCAAGAGCGAAGGAGCAAACCAGAAAAAGCCGAGGAGCACAGCAGAATAGAACCCAAGAGACAAGGAACACGGCAGAATATGCCCCAAGTGCGAAGGAGCACGGCAGAGAAAAAGCAGGAACACGGCAGACAAAGACCAGGAGCACAGCAGAATAGGCCCCATGAGCGAAGGAGCACGTCGGAAACAAAACAGGAGCATGGCAAAATAGACTCCAAGAGCTGCCGAGCACGGCAGAAAAAGACCAGGAGCACGGCAGAATAGACCCCAAGAGCTAAGGAGCACGGCATAATAGGCCCCAAGAGCGAAAAAGACGCCAGAAAAAGACCAGGAGCACGGCAGAAGATGCCCCAAGAGCTAAGGACGACGGCAGAAAAGACCGAAACACAGCAGACCCAAGGAGTACGACAGAAAAGACCAGGAGCACGGCAGAATAGGCCCGAAGAGCGAAGGAGCAAACCAGAAAAAGACGAGGAGCACGGCAGAATAGAACCCAAGAGACAAGGAGCACGGCAGAATAGGCCCCATGAGCGAAGGAGCACGGCAGAAAATGACCAGGAGCACGGCAGAATAGACCCCCAGAGCTCAAGGGCACGGCAGAAAAAGACCAGGACCACGGCAGAATAGACTCCAGAGCTAAGGAGCACGGCAGAAAAAGACCAGGAGCACGGCAGAATAGGCCCCATGAGCGAAGGAGCACGGCAGAAAAAAAAACAGGAGCACGGCAGAATAGACCCCAAGAGCTGAGGAGCACGGCAGAAGAGGCCCCAAGAGCGAAGGAACACGGCAGAAAAAAACAGGAGCACGGCAGAATAGACCCCAAGAGCTAAGGAGCACGGCAGAAGAGGCCCGAAGAGCGAAGGAGAACGGCCAAGAAAAGACCAGGAGCACGGCAGAGTAGACCCCAAGAGCTAAGGAGGACGGTAGAAAAAAACACCAGGAGCACGGCAGAACAGGCCCGAAGAGCGAAGGAGTACGGCAGAAGAAGACCAGACGGCAGAGTATACCCCAAGCGCTCAAGAGAACGGCAGATAGACCCCAAAAAGGAAGGAGCACGGCAGAAATGCGAGACGCGTGCGGCAGAGGAGCGAAGGAGCATGACAGGAAGAAGGTCCTCACGTTCGGCTTTGGATAGACTCCAAGAGCGAAGGAGCACGGCAAATGAGGCCCCAGGAGCGAAGGAGCATGATAGGAAAAAGAATAGGAGCACGACAGAACAGACCCCAAGAGCTGAGGAGCACGGCAGAATAGGTGCCAGGAAAGAAGGAACAATGCAAAACGCGACCAATGACCAGGAGCATGGCAGAATAGACCGCAAGAGCTAAGGAGCACGGCAAGATAGATGCAAGAATACGGCATAATACGCCCCAAGGAAGGAGTATGCAAGAAAAAAACAAGGAGCACGGCAGAATAAAGCCCGAAAGCGAAGGAGCACGGCAGAATATGCCCCAAGAGCTAAGGAGCACGGCAGAAAACGACCATGAGCACGGCATCATAAGCCCCAAGAACAAAGCATTGTGACAGAAAATGACCAGGAGCATGGCAGAATAGGCCCGAAGAGCGAAGGAGCACGGCACAAAAAAACAAGGAGCATTGCAGAATAGACCCCGTGAGCGAAGGAGCACGGCAAAACTGCTCATTCTTTGCCTTGCTCTTTTTTCGCCGACCATGCTCCGCCCGATTTGTTTGAGGATGTATGCAGCGAGAGCGCGATGTTTAACACGAGAGGTAGTAAAAACGCCACTCCAATATATAATGTTTGTTAACATGTCTCAGGCGAGACGCTAGTTTTTGAACATCTGTCGAATTCACGGCTTCCCATGTTTAAGGGATGCCTCAGGCGAAACCCTCGTTTTTGATGAAATCGATGTTGTGAACATTTCATGTTTGTAAGGATGTCTCAGGCGAAATCGCCATTGTGGATCGTCTCGAAGGCGCTCATGGGGGTCAAATTTGGGCTTGTTTGGGGTATTTGGGGGCCTTCTTGATGCCTTACAAAACCGTTACAGTCCGATGTTACACACATTCATTTTTTCAGGATGTCCCTAGCGAAATCGCCATTTTTAGATGACTGGCTTAAACCATCTAGAAGCCTTTTCAAGAGCGATCCCCAGACGATGTTACAGTTTTCAAAACGGTGTTGTTCGATTTGTTTTTTTTTTGAAGATGTCCCTAGCGAAATCACTATTTCCAGCAACCTTAAGGGCGCTCTTGGAGCCATGTTGTGGCCTCCTTTTGCTTCCTGATGCCCTCCAAAAATCCGCCGACCCCTTGGGTCATCGGCGTGTGAGATGCTTCCCCCTCCCCAAACCCCTCCCCCGGGAACCCGGTCCGGTCGATTTGGAGGGGGGGGGGGGGCCACCACGAGCGACTCACGACGCTCTTCCGGGCCCAAAAGGGCCCAAATACGGGCCAAGAAGGCCCCAAGAGGCCTCCCAGACGTTCCAAGAGGGCCCCAGACGCCCCAAGAGACCGCCTAGACGCCCTAAGAAGCGCCCAAGAGGCCGCAAGAGGCTTCCAAGACGCCCCACGAGGGCTCCAAGACGCCCGAAGAGACCTCCAAGACGCCCCAAGAGACCTCCAAGAGGCCCCCGAGGAGCGCCCCAAGAGGCCAAAATCGTTGATTTTCATGTGTTTTTTCTATGTTTTCGTCATTTTCGCCTTTTCGGCCTTCCGACGCTCCAAGACAGCCCAAGAAGCTCCCAAGACTGCTCCAAGACGGCACAAGAGGCCTCCACGACGCCCCCAAGACGGCCCAAGAGAGCCCCCAGACGGCCCAAGAGCTGCCCAAGGCGGCCCAAGAGAGCCCCCAGACGGCCCAAGAGCCGCCCAAGACGGCCCAAAAACCTCCCGGAAACGGGCCCAAGAGGGGCTCCAGAGAGAGACCACGCACCGGAAAACCCAGCCTTACGCCCCAAGAGGCCCCCAGGAGGCCCCAAGAGGCCCCAAAGAGGCCCCAAGAACCCCCCAAGAGGCCCCCAAGACGTTCCAAGAGGCGCCCAAGAAGCCACAAAGAGGCCCCAAAACGGCCCCCAAGAGCCTTCGAAACTGCTCCAAGAGGCCCGCAAAAAGCCCCCCCGCAAGATCCCAACGGACATCTCCGAACACACCGGTTTTTCGAGTCGCGCCCAGCCCCATAACCCGGAGCCTCATCTCAGTGTCCCCCTCCTCCTCCTCTTCCTCCTCCTCCTACACTTCCTCCTCGTTCCCCTCCTCCTCTTCCTGCCCCGCTTCAGCTCATGCTCACCGATGCTTCTCCCCCCCATTTTCCGCCTCACCCCCCATCCCTTGGGTCATCGGCGTGTGAGATGCTTCCCCCTCCCCAAACCCCTCCCCCGGGAACCCGGTCCGGTCGATTTGGAGGGGGGGGGGGATGCCCACCACGAGCGACTCACGACGCTCTTCCGGGCCCAAAAGGGCCCAAATACGGGCCAAGAAGGCCCCAAGAGGCCTCCCAGACGTTCCAAGAGGGCCCCCGAGACGCCGAAAAATCGTTCGAAGACACTCAAAATGGCTTCCAGACGCCCCAAGATGCCTCCAAGACGCCCCAAGAGGCTTCCAAGAGGCCTCCCAAGAGGCCCCAAAAGGCGAGAATCGTTGATTCTCATTGGTTTTTTCAATGTTTTTGGCTTTCTCACCTTTTCGGGCTTCCGACGCTCGAAGACGGCCCAAGAGGCCCCCAAGACCGCCCCAAGACGGCCCAAGAGGCCTCCAAGACGGCCCAAGCAGGCCCAACACGGCCCAAGAGGACCCCAAGACGGCCCAAAAGAGCCTCAAGACAGCCCAAGACGGCCCAAAGAGAGCCCCAAGGCCAGCCCAAGAGGGGCCCAAGAGGGAGACCACGAAGCGAAAAAAACAGCTTTCCGCCCCAAAAGGCCCCCAGGAGGCCCCAAGAGACCCCCAAGAGGCCCCAAGAGGCCCCCAAGAGGCCCCAAAAAAGGCCACAATAAGCCCCCAAACAGCTCCCCAGGTGCCTCCAAACTGCCTCCAGCAGGCCCCCGAGAGGCTTCTCACGAGATCCCAACGAATATCTGAGAGGCCTCTGAACCACAACTCAGGCACGGTGGCGGGATGGGCCGACTACTGGGAGGAGGAGCAAAGACGACGACGATAGGAATACGGGGGATAAAGTCGGGCCATGACGCCCCCAAGACGTCCAAGATTGCCTCCAAAAAAAAAACAAGGGGTCGGCGGTGTGACGTAAGCCAAATAATCATTACGATGCGATGTCGCCCGCATCAATTGTTTGAGGATGTCCCTACCGAAATCGACATGTTTTGAAGGCTGCCTTGGGCCGTCTGGGAGCCTTTTCAGAAGCAAAGTCGAAACTATGTAAGAACAACAGTTTTCATGTCGATGCTGGTGTATGTTTTCATTTGTTGAGGATGTCCCTAGCGAAATCGCTATTTTCGGAAGTCTCCCAATCGTTCTGACAGCCATCTTGACGTGCTGTTTGGCCTCTCATTTCGTCATCTTGAGGTACTTCGAGAACGATATCAAGACAACGTTGAGGACATCTCATTTTGTTGAAGATGTCCCTAACGAAATGCAAATTTTCTGCCGTGCTCTTCGTTCTGGTCCGCCGTGCTGCCGCTCGTTTTCTGAGGATGTCCCTGGCGAAATCGCAATTCTTAACATAAGAGTTACTTAGAGACTTCAGTCGTCATCTCATTTTTTCGAGGATGTCCCAAGCGAAACGCAAATTTTCACAGACGGCGAAATTTCGCTGTCATCAACTGTTCGAGGATATCTCGAGCGAAACGCTTGTTTTTGTTAAACGCGATGTCGCGAAGATCTCATTTTTGTGAGGATGTTTCACGCGAAATCGCCATCCCGAGGAACCTATCTTGACATGAACGGGAAGCGCGTGAAATCGAAGAGCCTGGCAAGAACGTGCACCAACATTGATGTCGCATGTCGCCTAGGCGCTCTTCCCGACCGTGCACAGGGGGTACCAGGTGGAGTTCACTACCCGCGCAAGTTCAGACGTGGCCCTCACCCGAACTCCCTAAAATATACCAGATAGGGTTCACTAGCCGCGCAAGTGGAGACGTGGCGCTCACCCGAAACGTACGGAAAGAATAAGATTCTGCAAGGAAAGATGAAAACGCGAAATACCGCGAGATAAATGTACGTGCAAGGATCTCTCCGATAGTACAGACTGAGACCGGATGAGCCGAACAGCTATAACATATGTGGACGGCGGGCGGGGGCTGATTCCCGCGGAGGATCAGGGCCAACACCAGCTAGAGTTCACTCCCCGCCTGAGTTCAGCGACGCTACTAACTGACATGGGCAGCCAGCTCCACCTGTCACCCCGCGTTGAATCGCCAAGAGCCCCCAAGCAGGCCCCAAGAGGCCACAAAGAGGCCCAAAACAAGCCCCAGGAGGCCCCGAAACGACCCCCAAGAGGCCTCCAAAGTACCACTTGAGGCATCCGAGAGATCTACCAGGAGATCCCAACGAACACTGCAGAGCCCTCTGACCAACAACCCAGGCACGGTGGCGGGATGGGCCGGCCTTTTGGGCAATCCTGGAGATCCTTCGAGAGCGTCCCTTAAAGATGTCGTACAACATCTACTTCAACCTCTCATTGTTTGGAGGATGTCTCAGGCGACACGGCATTTTCGAAAATCCGAAGGTTTCGCCAGCGATTTCAATATCTCAACTTTTCTGAGGATGTCTCAGGCGAAAGGCTGCCTCCTCCTCCTCCTCCTCCTCCTCCTCCTCCTCCTCCTCCTCCTCCTCCTCCATCCCTTCTCCGTGCTCCCTAGCGAGGGGGCTCCTCGACGGCGCCCGGCTTCTCCGACACCGGGGGCCGCGGCAGCGCCCGCGCCCCGCGCCCGTCTGGGCAGGCCCCGGGCTCGCTGCCCACGGCGTTCGGCGGGGCGCCGCCCTGCGCGCAGCGCGCGGCGGCGGCGGCGTTCGGCGGCGACCGTGGGCGGCGACGCTCGGCGGCGACGCCGAGGCCGACGGCGGCAGGCGGGGACGACAGCGCCGATGGCGGCAGCGGCGACGACGACGGCGCGGCGGCGACGGCGGGGCGGCGAACTGGGAAGACGGCTCGGCGGCGGGGGCCGAGGGCAGCGGCGGCGACCGTGGCAGCTCAGGCTGGGGGGGCGGCGGCGACGGCAAGGAGGAGAGGCAGGGGCAGCAAGAGCAGCAGCAGAGTCGTTCAAGACTTAGCTACTTCTGATGCCCCTCGACCTGCGGTGGAGCTGCCACGATCGGATCCAGACCTTCCTGGAGATCTCTGCATTTACCTCGGCTTATCTGGATGCGCCTCGACTTATCTGGAGTTACCTCGATGCATCTGGCTTGGTCCCCACAAGTTGATTGGAAAAGTCGTCAAGACTCCAGAGAAAGGGGGGCAAGAGGAGCGCGAGGAAGAGGAGTGTCCAGGAGGAGAGCAGCGACCACAGGGAGGAGGGTGCTCGGCAGCGTGTGAGAGCAGGGAGGGAAGCGGACCCCCTCCTCGCATTCACCTTCCATCGCCGCCAGCCACTTCTTATACTCCTCTTCCTCCACCCCCTGCTCCTTCTCCTCACCCCCTCCTCCTCTTCCCACCCCTCCTCCTCCTCCTCATCCTCCTCCTTCTCTTCCTCCTCCTCCTCCGCCTCCTCCTCCTCCACCTCCTCCTCCTCCTCATCCTCATCCTCCTCCTCCCGTCCTCGAGCTGCAGACATAGGCCGGTGCAATCTTGGAGGCAAGGTAAGGCTGGCGCAGTGAGTCTTCAGGCTGGAGGACATGGTCCCCGACTTACTATAGCCACGCCCACACCGTGGGCCAGGAGTTCTTGCTGGCCATGGCTCGCAGGATCCAGACTGGGGCCTCCGACCCAGTGGAGGGCTGACTACAGGAGCTAGAGCGGGTAATGGAGGACACAAGGAGGGAGGATGCAAAGGAAGCAATGCGGAGGTGGAAGCTGTGGGCTATGAGTTCAGTGCAGAAAGGCTGACGTGCAGCACGGTGCTTTTTCGCGCAAGGGTCGGTCCGACAGGTCCAGCCAGGTGTCCTCCCCGATCGACGAGGTAGACTTGCCCGTGAACGGGGACGAGGCCGACAAGGCCATGATCGACCAGTGGCTTCACCTGTGGTTTCAAGAGCGCTTGCGCCAGTGATGGATCACCCTTCCGGATGGGAGGGGCCCAGCCGTTGTAGGCTTGCAAAGGGTATTCGGAGAACGCGGGGCTTGGATGGGATGCCTTTGACCCTCGTTTGGTCCTGAGGCTTCCCGAGGCGCAGCGGCAACGGATCTTGAACATCCTCCATGGATTCGAAGAGGCCACTGGAGTGCACTCAAATCTGCTCACCGACATTCTGTTCCTGGATACTTACGCCAGGCGAAGTGTCGCCAGGCCGTCTGTCCTCACTGGGAGCAGAGCATCCGGCATCTTTCTTTTGGGGTGCGAGCCCCGAGTTGACCTGCGAGCGTGCAGGCAGGGCGCACAAAATGATGTCTCACCTCGGGCACTGCATTGGCACGTCGGCGGCGTCAGTTTTTTTTTAACCTAAGAAAATGATGCAAGCATGTTACCCACGTCGACTTGTACCGTGCTGCTGGTTCACCAGCAGCACGATACAAGTGAACGTTTTCTTAATCGGCGTTTCGACATTGGGCGGAAAAGGGGGGCGAAGGGGGATGGTCTGGCTCCGGACCTCTGCTTCATGCGATTGTTTGCAAATGGCGTCCTATGGAGGGGACTCCATTTGCTTGAAACAGGAAACAAGCGCCAAAAGCAGCCAAGATCTACTCTATGGGAGGGGGGAAGGGGGTGCGAGGGCCCGCGCCGATCGGCAATACAATGAATCAGAAAACGATCACCTGTCGAACACGGGTTTCGACTTGACCTGGCTCGAGGAATGTGTAAGATGTATGCTGCCGAATGGATGGCCCACTGCAGTGGGTTTGTTTCGGAGGTCCTGAGGGCCAACGGTACGGTGATCGCAGGATGCTCGGCAGCGACGACGTGGACGGAACTGTTTTTGCTCAGCCCACTTCGGCTCGCTCAGTTCGAGCGGCCGCAGCTGATTCGAGACATCGTAGACGACATTGCGCTGCAGCTTGTGGCGCCGCAGGCGGGCGTATGCTCCCAGGTACCAGGCCAACGAGCAGCAGCCCCCAGACAGCTTCGGCATGGACATGGTGTTGGCGGGCACGGTGCTCTTCCTCGGGAGGGTGCTGTGACGAATGCGGTGGAGATGGCGGACGTCCCGTACTTCCTCCACTGCGTGCTGCGTGGGCGGTGACGATGGCACGAGTTTTGCTGGGAATGAGGTACCTGTGTACCTCGACTGGGAGCCCTGCGATGTGAAGACCTACCCTGGGGCCTGGGTGGGTTCTGAAGATCGGCAGGCTGTTGATCCGCGAGATCATGTACACCACGCTTGTGATCATCATGATCATGTATACCACGCTTTTCAATTTTGTGATTTTCCAGAGAAAGATTGCTTGACCTCGGGGCTCATGACGAGGGAGAAGTATGATGAAAGGATCCATACTGCGAGCATGGTGGCGGCTTGTGCGAATACCACAAGTGGGAGCCCTTTGACTACACGGAGTGCACTGCCCAACGACCCTCTCCTCGGGGGAGGCGGAAAGGGTGGTGCCAAGAAGACGACACGCCGATCAGATCAAGCTTCGGTCCTCCAGGGTCTGGTGAGGGCTGTGAGTGCGATCCAGCAACACATTGGGCTGCAGCAGGAGTCCCCTGCTGCGGCGTGGCAGGCGTCCCCTGCAACGCGGGCGGAGAAGCCCAAGCCCAAGAAAAAGAAGGTCAAGAACACGGACATCCGGATCATCGAGCGCCAGCGGAGTCTCATTGGATATGTGGACACCGCCACGGGCGCCCAGAAGCAGGCCATCACGACGACGGTGGTCTGCAACAAGCTGCGTGAGCTCATCGCCACCTTCAGCGCGGCCAAGGCCGACAGTCCGCTGGAGGAGGCGACGACGACTACGACGCCGACATCGACGACGACGGAGCGACTGGTTGCTGAGCCCTGGGGGACTGCGGCCCTGGTAGCCGCGGGCCAGGCTCGCACCAAGCTGGAGACGAACGCGGAGCCGCTGGTCATCTTCTTCTCCACGGAGGCGGAGTTCACGGCGGCGGAGCAGGTGAGGCGAGCATATGGCAACAGGACGGACATCACGCATGTGGTCTTGGATGCATCAGGTGAAGATTACGTACTCCTCCATGGGCCGAAAGGCCCCAAGAAGATGAAGGCCCGCATCGTGTACCACGGTGCGAACGCTCCCAGGAGGGCGGGTCTCGACGCGGCCATCAAAGACGACGAGGCCGTGCAGCATGAGAAGTTGTCTCTCGTGAGTTTCCGTATCACAGTCGTGCAGGAGCTGACGGATGAGACTCTCTACCACCAGATCTACAACCAGCCCCAGGCCTTGCCGACGGTGGTGCTGGGAGATGTGGCAGCGGCGCAGATTGTGCGCACACGACGTGCTATTGCGTACGAGGCTGAGACGACTTGTGTGGTTACGGTCCCCAAGAGTTTCGAGCTGAAGTTGAGTGAGATCGTTGAGTGAGATCGTACCGCCATTGGGTTGTTTTATTATGAAGCAAGCATCGACGACGACTCCAAAGTGTTTCACACAGAAGGAGGAGGAGACGCCGAAAGACTATCTCAAGAGAGTTTGTGGATTACTGAAAGAGCAGCAGAACTTGTTGGTGTATCGTCCGTATGGTCGGGCTAAGCTCGGCGCGATTACGCAGATCAACGCTCCTGGCATGCTCGAGCTCACGAAGTACTACATCAAGCACGCTCTCCCGACCTGGACTACCCCGCAGCATGTGGCGGACTGGGCTTCGGAGAGAGGGTTCCTTCGAGCGCAGGAGCCGACCAGAGCTGTTTATGCTGAGCCGCCGCAGGGTGTGGTGGCGACGAGTTTCGCTTTCAAGAGTGGTGTGCTGGTTACCAAGGCGGTGAGACCCCAAGCGCCAGTACGACAGAAGCCGAACGAGGGTCCATCGCCTACGACTCGGAGTGCGTGGGGAGCGGCGAAGCCGAGGATCCAGAACATCGATGACGAGACAGTGGAGCAGCCAGCATCGACAGCTACGCCGACGGCAGCATCGACAGCTACGCCGACCACTGGAGCTGCGGACGCAGCCAAGAAGAAGGATGACGTCAAGATCGAGACTAAGGATGAGGCGAAGGTCGAGTTCGAGTCAAAGTTGCAGAGAGGTGAAGACGGCAAAGCAATGGGCAAACATGTGACGCCGTACGCAAAGTGGTTCAAAGTTGTTCAGTGTGCAGGTGAAGGAGATTGCTTCTATATCGCCGCAGGCCGTGGTCTGCATCATGTTTCTCCGAGCGGGCGGGTGCCGCCCGTCAATGCCTTCGAGCCGAAGGGCCCTATCCAGGGCCACCTGCGTATGCTAGTACAAAGGGCTGGGCTGAAGAAGGTGTTCGGAACGACGAAGCTGCAAGCGGAGCACCACGGCACGACGGGGAACCCAGCGGGAGCCCTGGCGGTACGGTTGCTGGCGCACGAGGCTAAGACGGACATTTACATTTGGGCAAAAGATGCGAATGGAAAGTGGATAGTGTACGGACGTGAGCCGAACTTCAAGATGAAGAAGAAGGAGATCTGGTTGACCCTTGAGGACCAGCACTACCAGTGGCTGGAGCCTCGAGCGGACATCCAAGACCTGCCTGAGTACCAGAACACGTTACGCTTGTGGCGTGATCAGGCCTTCCCGTACCCCCAGCACGGCTTGCAAAGGAGTGGCGGGGAGGATGATGATGATGCAGATATGTTGTCCTTGCTTGGTCTGCGCAATACACCGACAGCACATACGGGTGCCATTGCGAGTATCCTGGGACTGGACGAGCGCGCGGACGAGATGCGGAGTATCCTGGGCTTGGAGTCTGGCG